TGCCCCACAACGTTGGGACTTCTCAGGAGTGTGATCCTAGTCTGTGTGTCTGTGTGTGTGTGTGTGTGTGTGATTGAGTGTGTGTACATTCCTGAGAGGACCCTGAGTGGATCAAAGCTGCTGACACCCCAGGCAGTGTCCTGCTGAGGGAGCCAGCTGTCAGATCTGGGATCAGAGATCACTGGCTTCTGTCCTCCCACCTCCTCACTCTCTGTGGGGTCTGTCATAGCAGGTTAGCACTCAGCCAGAGGCACTGATCCTCAATCAGATTATTCCCCCTAATAATAGCAGCGAGGACGAGGCAGCCGGGATGGAAGCATCAGTTAAAAAATGAACATAAAAAAAACCTAACAATTTAGTTCCAGTCTATAAAGTTCAGTGCCGCTGTTTTATCCTGACCTCAAATACACAGGTATTTTTTAACTCTAACAATTTAGTTCCAGTCTATAAAGGTCAGTGCTGCTGTTTTATCCTCAAATACACAGGTATTTTTTAACTCTCTCATTCTCAAAGCCTCTTCGTTCTTTCCACGTTTCACGCCTGCAGGGCGGCGATCACGTGACTCCGCTGATTCACATATTCTGTATGTTATTCCACTTGTGGCTCAGCATCTGTCTGTTGGTATGTGTTCCACTCAGATCTGTACCCCTATCACTGAGCCCACATTCCTCCCATTCCTGTGGATTCTCTTCTACCTGGACCGAGAGCAACTGGGACGCTGGGATTTATCACAGTGACAAACACACACACACACACACTCTGCTATTAAATCAGTGTATGAGGGTTCAAACTAGACCTGTAGAACTTAATCTGAACCTTATATAGTCTTAACCAAACCTGCTTTATGGGTGAGATGTGAGAGGTTGGCAAAAAAACAACAACCACAACTGACGCCTGCCTTGGAATCAGAGAACAAGTGGTCCTGGGTTTGATTCCCAGAGTTCAAAATCTCGGGCAGCTGTGGCTTGGTGGTTAAGGAAGCGGACATGGTTCCGGAAGGTTTCAGGTCACAATCCACAAGTTGCCAGCAAGTTACATGGGACCGTCCCCACACCCTGTTCACACCCTGCTCACATTGGTGATAGGTCAAATGCAGAGGTCAACTTTTGTTGCTGTGTCACAATGAAAAGTAATTCACTTTCAACATTCAACAACACAAGCATTCACACTTCAATTCACACCTACAGTGTGAGTGTGAATTGGAGTGAATAATCAACCTGGTCCTGCATGTCTGCACACAGATGAATATAAACATGAAAACTACGTATATACATACAGAAAAACTGGAAATGGAACCAGCGACACGTCACTGTAAGGCAAGAGCACTAACTGCTATATTATTCTTATTTATTTATTTATATTTGCCAGGAAAATAATTCTGTAAAGAATAAAGAAAAAGGAAAAAGGCGAGGACAATGCCAGGAAAGAAGTTCTCACTCGGACTTTTTCGTAATCATTAGAACAATTCTCCGGCACCGAGCAGCAATTTATTGACAGGAACGATGGTGAAAATTACGACCATTATAGCCAGATTGTAGAAAAAATAAAAGTAAATTGAAACCACTAAATAATCCACCTAGTTTCCTTGACCTTGGGCGAAGACTGAGAAACTTGGAGACAGAGCTCGGAGGACGGGGGGACTGGGGGGGGGGACAGGTTCAGGCAGACTGACAATTGGCAGAGGAAACCTTAACATAAGCAGAGATGATTCATTTCAAACACTGTACCAGTGATAAAATGACTCAGCTCAGTGGCACTGACCGTGGCCTGGGTGTGTACTGGTGTCAGAGCATGTGTGTGTGTGTGTGTGTGTGTGTGTGTGTGCAGGGCTGACCGTGTGCCAGGCCTCTGGTTGGCCCACACGGTGTAGATGTGCTGCCAACCCGCACTTGGCTGAGTCTTTGAAACCTTTCTTTACCTCAGCAGCGGTCAGCAGTGTCAACAGCTTCATCAGACCACATGTGTGTGTGGAGCCTATGAATCAGTCCGACTGTGGAGTTTGTGTATTCATGTGTCTTTCTAATGGGCTGTGATATGGGCTCGTCCATCTGTGTGTGTGTGGGTGTGTGTGTGTGTGTGTGTGTGCAGCTGCTGCAGGTCGGCTCTTCAAAAGTAGCAGAATCTCTTCAGGTTTAAAAGGTCACGTCACTTGAAGCCACGCTGAGCGTTTTCATTTTATGAAAGTAGAGTTTTGACATGTCCCTCCAGGAGATTTTCTCTTCCTTTTTTTTTTTTTTGGTCATCCTCGCAGCATGAAAAGACGTTGGGAACATCTATTCCCAGAACCGGTTCTCCACATTAGCCGCAGACCTGACTGAAGGGCTCTTGTTGTGACTGTTTCTTCGGTCAAACACAACTCCAAAGAAAACTCCTCACTCTGCTGTTTGTGGATTATTCACAGAGAAAATGGAACATTTTGACACACTGCGACGCCTCGCTGTGCGTCCCAGCGTCCTTCACACCAGGGGGACTTTGTTCGGAAAGGTTTGCGGAGACGCTAGATTTTCCAAAGACCCAATAAGAAGGTGTATGTTTTTCACTCTTGCTTCACTTTGTGACAAACGATTTCACACATTCGCAACCGCAAATTCATCAAAATAAAAGTATTTTTTTCAAACTCAATTTCATCCATGAATTTGAATGACTTCCTTTAGAAAAGGACACTGTGTATTTTCTATCCAATTACTGCACTCTCATCGGAGAGGGTTCACAGTCAGTACAGGGGGAAAGGGATAATGAAAGGGGAACTCGCCTTTTAACAGAAGATGGATGTTTTAAAGGTGCAGTGATTTTTCTTGACCGACCCCCCCTCCCCCACTCCACTCAATCTGAACTCTCATGTAGTATTACCTCCATTATATCATACAAGACTTTGAGAAAGACTGTCATCTTTACAGACCCCCTGCTCGTTAGCTCAGCAGGAGGGTTGGTGGTGCAATTTCTCCCTCGTTGCATCTCGTCCAACATCAAACATCAGAACACACAGTCAAAATTTGATTTCCTCCGACTCCTCGTCAGGGACCACACTGCAGAGCAGGGGTGTACAACTGTTGCCTCACAGAGCGGGGTGTACCCTGGGCTGAAGATGGATGGATGGTTAACTGGATGGATGGAGCGTTGGGAATTCTCATGTGTGTTTAATACAATCTTGGCTTGGATACCATGCTGAAGATTTCTGGTCAGATTAATTCCTGATCTTCTGGCTGCTGGACTCCTGAACACAGCAGTCCAGCAGCTGGGGATCGGCTCTCCCTACGATTGCGTACAGTCTCTGCCTCGTTGTTCCTTTCGTACAACGACAGCTGCACCAGCTCACGCCTTGGCAGGTACTTAGTTAGGTTCACTAACGATACCACAGTAATCATCCTCCTACAAGTTGATGAGCAGAGGAGACAACGTCCCGTCCAACTGTGTGTTAGCATCTGGGGGCCGTTGTAGACCACAGCGAGCCGAAGTCAGCCGAGAAACAAAGCAACAATGGCTTCATTTACTAAAAAAGAAGTTGCTTTTCATCTGATGTTGACGATGTTTTATCGCAGCTCGGTCACGACTGCTCCGACTCTTTAGCCTCATGTTCTGGTTTGGCAGAAAATTGAAAGCACAGAAAGAAAAACGGTAACCACTGCCAGAAGACTGCACGCAACGAACAAGGGTAGCCTCGAACAACTGGAGCCACAGACACATTAAGAGAACTAAGAGATTTCCAATGAATTACTTTTAGCTCGTCTGACTATTAGCGGTGGGTATTGGAACCCAGAACCTTCTGCTAGCAGGTGGGAGTCCTACACTTTTTAGGTTTCATCGAGCGGCTAGTTCCGATTAATAAAACCCAAGATTAATCCAATTAATGAAGAATTTTCAACGACTGATTATAAATAGAAACCATGTAGTTCCCCATCCTCTCTACAGTGGGCGCTATAAATGCATTTGAATAAAGTTTTTATCCAAAAACAATGACTGCAGCTTTCAGTTGTTAACATAACTGGAACAAAACTGGAACAATTTTCTAGAAAAAAAAGAAATCGAGCCAACGTGCACAACGCACTTTTTTTTCCTTTTTTTTCTTTTCTGTTAGCTGTCCAGACGGGTTCTTCTCCGGATTATGAGATTCACATGTAATGATATTCCGAGCACATTTACAGAGCAGAAGCTCCGACTATTAATACGACCCGGTGTGTTTGTTTTGTCAACAGCTGGGCCACATCACAACTATCAACAAAACTACTGTCGGATTTTTTTTTCACTGCATTCTTTAGTACTACAGTTCTCTTATCAGACTCACATTAAAAACAGAAAAATACTTCACTACTTTAGTAAACTGCTTTGATCCAGAGTTTACCTGGACTTACTCCATGAGTCCAGTTGCTGGTTCTACTCCACTCCTGCTTCTCGCTCCAAAAGCTCCCTGGAGCCTTACATTTAGGAAGTTTAAATCCTCTGCCCCTCCTCCTTCACACACATCACATGCACAAGCACACACATTTTCTCCATCCCTGCCCTCCCTCTGTCCCTCTCTCTCTGTCTTTGCACACACACACACACACACACACACACACACACACACACTTGCATCAAGTGGTGCTGCACAGTAGTGAGGCAGTGGAGTGTGATACTGAGAGACTGAGCGAGAGAGAGAGAGAGAAGGGGGGAGGCAGGAGGGGATAGGAGGAGGAAGATTGAGGTGAGGAGGGTGGAGAAAGCAAGAGAAAGACAGAGAGAGAGAGAGAGAGGGAGAGAGAGAGAGAGAGCATTTACTGAGGAGCTCTCCAGCTGAAGGGAAGCATCAGTGTGAAGAAGTGAGGGATTCCAGCCGAGGACTTTCCAGTTTATCAGACCATGAAAGACAAAACGAGGAGTTGGTAAAAGAGGACGAAGCAGAAGATTTAAAGAAAAAAAGAGGAGAACAGAGTTTGATGTGAGGGATTACTGGACACTTTCTATATGAGCTCCTGTCATGGTGATATCCTGCCTGATCGTCTCTCGTTGACAGGAGCCTCTCTGTTCTCCCGGATTTCCCAGGGATCAAAGTTTGTTTTCAAAGCAGTGTGTGTGAATGAAGCGTGCGGAAGCAGGAAACATGTCAAATGGACTTTTCAGTCACCTGTCGAGGGGAGCCTGGCTGCTGTGGCACGGTGAGTACGGCCCCTGTCTGCAGAATACTACGGAGTACTTTGGAAAGTTTGTTTCTCAATTCCTAGGTCACACGTTCCTTCTTAGGAACCTGCTGACGGTTATTGATTCTGCTGGTTTTTGGACAGATTTTGACAACCGTCCCAATTTGGTTCAGTCCACTCGGTTCTGACCGGGTTTGGACAAACAGGACAAGTGGCAAAAAAAATATATTTTTGTGAGCTTAGAGCTATAAGAAATAATGGATTGTAGAACTCAAACTCTGACTGTTGTAGTGTTTCGTCAGAATGTAATTACCTGTAAATAACAATAAGTCAGTGTTTTTCTACTTTGTTTTCACGCCGGGAAGTATAAGTACATTAGAAAATATTCAGATTTATTGAAATATTATTCAAAAAAACATAACAGACATGAAGTGTTTGTGCATTTTTTTTGCTTTCAAAATCCATCAAGCGGGCCAGATTGAACCCCCTCAGCGGCCCAAATTTGGCCCATAAGCCATATTTTTGACACCCCTGATCTAATTTAATAATAATATGCAAGATAAAAAAAACAGCACAGTAAGGTGTTTTATCCTTCCATAATCCAAAACGTTCTCCAAAGTCATATAAGAAATACAGCGGGATAAACCTCGCAAGCCAGGAGAGTTGAAACAGCTTTTAGTCCAAATAACACATGACCGAAGAGACACAAAAGGACCAGATCAGAGAAGACAGAGAGGTGATTATAAGGAAGTTATTATGTCATTTGTCACAATTCAAACAATTTGTTCAACATGTGGATTCGGCCGTGGAAACATTAAGAAAAACACAACCTGCTCTGACGTGAGACATATGTGAGGAGCCGGTCTGAGTTGGCTGTCGGTTCATCTGAACGTTCTTCAAAGCTACGGCGGAGTCTTAAAAAGATCTCAGGCTTCAAAACACCGCTTCCCCCAGGAGCAGGGAAGTGTGGCCCTGGAACTAATGTTGTTATTATGTTAATGGTAAGAATAACAGGAGGCGGCCATTACTGACTCTGATGGTCCGTCCGCATTAGCCGGGAATGAAGACGCACAGCAGGTTTGCCGATCAGGGCAGGTCAGGATGATGGGCAGCGGAGAGGACGCCCGTCCCTCTGACCCCCCCCGCCCCCCGTTCTACACATTCAGTCTTTTAAACACATACTGACGGACTGTCATCAAATCTGTTCACTGTTTAATCGGTGCAAGCTGAAAAAAACATGGAGCTGAGCAAAAACGGCAATCAACGAAGAACGCCGTCAAGATTTTGTGCTGAGATATTTCCTCAGCTGTTTCTTTAAATGTTTTCATCTGATTAATCCCACTGTGGTTAAAGATGAATTTACTTTACTGTTATTGTACAAACACATTCATCACGATTAATTGTGGTCATAAATAATAACGACTAATCATGATTAGTTGAGATAAATCAACATCCCTACATACAGTATGTCCCAAATGTTTCTGGAACAGAGAGACAAATAACATCGGGTAGATACAGGTATGTGTTGCACACCTGTTTTACTTCAAATGGAGTTTGACAACTCCAAATTTATTTTCATAGAGTTTGTTATTTGTCGTTTTTGTGCATCTTAACCATGGCTTGTAGAATGGTTGAGAAAACTTCAATAAAGCTGCCATCCTCAACAATATCAGTCATCCTGTCAGCCGTAGACTTACTAACTGACGCAAGCTGACCTTTAGCTGAAGCCTCTAAAAACACATGCTGTGCATTGAGATGGTATTTGAAGCATGAGGTGCTTTGGTGAAACTAAGCCCTAGTTTTTACTTTTAAAATGATTGTGATGCCACTTTTTATTTTTCATTTCTGACGACCTCTGATCACTGATTACCCTTTTAACCCAGACTTCAACTTTTAAAGCTACAAGCAGGATTTTTTTTTTTTTTTAACGTTGTCTTCCATGCACATGCACTTTCCATTTGACTGCACTGAAGAGAGTTCAGGGTAAATATTTGGATAAGCTCTGACAGACAGAAGAATTTCTCTCTGTGGGCTAATAAGGTTCTACACAGAACTGCGTCCAAGGTGAATATTTACTCAAACTAACCCATAATCATCGTAATCATTGAACTCCAGAATCAGTTTTTCTGTCGTCGCCCAAATCAACAACATCCAAACCCCAGAACGTTTCTCATATTGGGAACAAACAAACACAAACTCCAACGGATCATTAAACCTTCTTGTCCGTTTGTCTTGGACCGACGTGGGATAGAAACAGATATTACAATTTCAGGTGCTCCGGCACTGACTGATCCTCTCGAGCGTTTGTTAAATGGGATCAGACGACAGACGAGACAGACGTTCCATTTCTGTATGAGATCTAAGAGCAGAGAGAAGAAGGAAGGAATAAGAAAATACAGTCATTGATGTGAGTTTGGCTCCGGGTGGCAGCGGTGAGAGTGTGAAAAGCCTCAGAACCATCATCTGTTACTGCTTTGTAAATGGGAGCCAGAGGTTGGTAACCACAGCGGAGCTGGCAGCAGCGTCCGCTGCTGGGCAAACCCTGGTAGATCCCTCGTCTAAATAAACAAGGCTGGTGGATTAGGCAGCTTAAAGTGTGATGAAAAGACAACAGCGTCCATGTGCTGCCTGAGGGACAGTGGGATCATCCCGGTCAGAGAGAGAGAGAGAGACACCGGGTTAAAGAGCAAAAAGGGGAAGAAGGGACTGAGGGTTAGAACAACACCACAGACCCCATGATCTGTGCCACACTAAATCTGCCTGACCTTTGTCTGACCTTGACTTCAGTACAAAGGGAAGTGAAAGACATGGAAGCGGAGGACGGACAATACGTCAGTATAAGTTACTATTTGATAGTCAAACTTTAATTCCAGAAAAAAAAAAAAAGAAGAGAAAATACAGCTGTCTCACGATGTATCACGATTCGGCTGTGGCGTCGTCAGCGCATTGCAGGTTTTTAGTAGTTTAAATGTATTCTTGTATTGCGGATTTTTCGCTCTATCGCGAGTATATAAAAATGTTTAAATTTACAATATTTTCAATATTTTTGTGATAAAATAAGCACTTTTCTAGCCTAAAAAGAAACAAAAAGAAAAAAAAATAGTAAAAAAAATACATTTATTTAAAGAACCTGAAATAACCTGTAAGCACGGGTAAACGAGATTTGTGAAAGTTAAAGAAACAAAAAGAAAAAAAAATAGTAAAAAAAATACATTTAAAGACAAAAAAGTTTCGTTAATTTTTTTTCATATTTCACGCCCTACGATGCCTCGTAAAGAGTTAATATATATACGTAAATAATATAATCACTATCGCGTCTCTACTTCGCGGTTTTATGTCTATCGCGGGTGGTCTTGGACTCCCACGATAGACGAGAGACCACTGTATACAGTTCATTTTTATTAATTCATAATTTTGACTTGTATTTTCTCCTGTCAATGTCCATGTGTTTATATAATGTCCAATTTATTCAGTAGAATTCACTTTTGCTCATTTGTTGGTTTAAAATTCTTCACGCGTCTTTTCAGGTTTTAAGACCAGAAAGGTAAAAATGAGAAAAGCAGAGCGTCTGCACAGTTCACTTTTTCAGACTCATTAGAAAATAACTAGATTTAAAAAAAAAAAAAAAACGCTCGACTGCACAGGGAAAAAACAACTGTGATTAATGCTCAACAGTTTGTTACACTGGAAGAATCACACACACACAGCCCAGAATGCCTTCTCACTCACCCTCACCTCTCCTCCTGACTCACCCATTCACTCTAACGGAGGGAGAGAAGGGAGAGGAAAGAACACAAAGACGGAAAAAAACAAACAAGAGAGTCAGGATCTGAAATCTATCCAGGAGAAATGAGGCGTAAACATCGTGGCTGTTTCATCACATACTTCAGGGACAGTTTGGTGGGTTTTTGTCCTTCCTTTACTGAGGTTGAAGAGGGATGAGCTTGGCTTCACAGTGCACAGATCGGGTGGAGGGATGGGGGGGAGGGGGGGCCGCACCAGCCACACTGAAAGATGTGGGCTTGAAAGAAAAAAGCTGGAAACACACCAGGACGCTGCTAGAACAGTGGAACGCGAAGGGCATTCCCATCATTTCAGTTTCACTACCTTTTCATTTCCTCCACTTTGGCAAATTTAGTGAAGCCTCAACAGAAACCCCTGCTAAAGGCAGAGGACGGGGGGGTGGATGGGGGGGGGCTCTCTCTAATGAATGAAGCAGTGGATGGACTTTAATGTCAGCCATTTGATTTCCTCCTGAGTCGTCTGGTTCTACTTTTGACAAAGACCTTCATTAAACTCCTTTTAGACGTTGGCTCCGTGAGTGCGGGCGAGCCAGACCCTAATCACAAATGCAAACAAACAAACAGAGAGCAGCCCGGAGGTCCTTTCATAAATGTGAGCCTTTCTACAGGTCGACTGTAAATCATCAATGTGTGCAGTGTGTGTGTGTGTGTGTTGTGGACGTGCCTGCGCACGTTTGTCTGTGTGGAAACTGGATTAATTTATGGAAGCTCAAACCCTGCGTGATGACTTTGGCCGCTCATCAGTGAGACACAGGCACGGCCACTGGCTGCAGTGGTGTTGACGGACTGACCATACAGACCACACGCAGGACACGGGCAACTGCGCTGACCTCTAGTGGTGGTCTAGTAGTGTCACTACTGGAAGGAGAAATTTAAATTTAAAATAGAATTCAGGGAAATGATGCTCCTTCACAGTGTTGACAAATGTTTTTCCTGTAAATGAGATGTTTCAGAACTTTTAATATTAATTGCTCGTACTGCTACAACAACACATACTACTACTACTGATTGTTGTTTGTGCTGTATTGCATGTATTCTCATGTTATTCCAGTTGTTTTAGTACTGTCTGTTTGTCTATCTAGTAATTAATATTTTTAATTAACTTAACAATTCAATAATTAATCATCAATATTATTATTATTCACATTACCATTATTATTAATATTTTAAAAAATAATGAGCATAATTATTACTGTAAATGTAATCAATTCATAATTGATATTTAATAAAATGTTTTATTAATTATTTTATTAATTTATCAGTACCTTTTTATTATTTAATCTTCTTTAACTTCACCTTTATTTTTCTATTTTATTTTTTTTTTAAATTTTGAATCCTCATCTCCCTGAACAGTTTTCTCTCATTAGAGTATTAGGTCATTTCATACCTAATCTGCTTGAATTGGAAACCGGCGACCTTCGTACTACGAGTGCGTAGCCGTTACTGTTTCTTTGTTAAAAAATGGAACAGAGCCGTTGGGACGCAGCCTTCATCAACATGTGTGAACTTATTTGGCAGTGGCTTTAATGTACAGTAAGAGGCATTCATTGGTTCCAGAGTTATGCTCCGCAGCATCAAATGTGATCTATTAGAGCGTTACAGGCAGCAGTTCATATCTGGGCTGAGTGAGTGCTTGGCCCAGTCTCCATAGTAAAAAATACACGGAGCGTGTTTTGAAACAGAACACACGTCCACAGCGAGGTGTCGACTGCGTCAGCGGGAAGTTTTAGGGGCCGTGGTGAATAAATAAATTATTGCGAGACATTTCAGGGGGAAAAATAATGATATATGACAGCCAATATAGGAAGTGAATCAACCAAAATAGCTACCTCCAGAGTGAGATGGTCGCTGGATATTTTCATATGTATTACATCATCATCTTGTCGAAGAATACTTAAAAGCCCACAATGAGCAATTTGACTTTAATAAGCTCTGTTTTTATGAGACGTCTTTTTAAACGCAACCATATGCCGGCTAGGAACGAGCACCGACATTGTACGAGGGGGCTGGATGACAACTGACCCCGAGAGTCACTCTATAGAAACGCTCTGGCAAATATTAGAAGCTGAAATATCACGAGCCAAAAAGTGCTCCACATCATACACTGAGACTCTGGTCTCTGTTCTTTCAGTGCGACCACTTAGGAAAACGGGTTGCACGAAGCTACAAAGGCCGGTGTAACACAAAACAGATCGATTTCCGAGCAGGCAGTGGACATGAATCAGTCCTAATGAGTCTCTCTGCTGTGGGAGTCCAACAGAGCGGGCTTCACCGTGCAGGAACGATGACATGGAACATAAAGAAGTCACCGCCGGGTGGGAAAAATGACAAACATCTCCAAATGTCGCTGATGGGAAAAAGAAGTGTAATTCACCTCATCCGAGAGACAGGCGGCCCGAAGGAGCAGAGACGTGTGCCTTGATCTCAAGTCTGGTTTCGCAATCTGAGGCTGTGAATGGACGTGAGTGTGTGTGAGAGACAGACTGAAGGATGGTAGGAAACGACAGACTTACACCGGTCTGTGGTTGTGGTCAGCATATGGGAAGCAGTGCAAGAGTGAGGCAAACCAACGCTATCTTCCTCTTTGACATTAACGAGGTCAATAAACAGCGGTCACTGACACCTTAACCCAGAAATCCAACAGCAGGTCAATGTCACACTCAGCTTCATTGGCTGAGCTGCCACCTCCACAGCTAACTCCCAGCTCAACTAAGGGCTCAACATATTATATTCTTCCCATGTGCATCTAAAGCCAAGGGAGAGAAAAGTGGAGTGAGAGCACTGCCATTAAACTGTCTGTCCAAGGAAAGTTTAGGAGGTGGGGGAGAACGGGGCAGCCATGGGGATAAGAAATAAAGTGGAGAACAAAACAAAAACATTGGTATTTCTCCATTTCCACATACATATAATATTTTATGAGTTGTTCAAATGGGTATGTTTCTTTTAAAAAGCCCCAAACTCTCCTCTCAGTGTTTCAGTGTCACATTATCTGTGACGCCTACCTAACTCCACGTCTACACTGTTTATGTTTCAAAGTTTCTTTGAAAAGGTGCGTTGAACAAATGATCCTATTGAGAGGGAAATAGACAATAAAGCACCATTGGAGACACTCAGTTCAAAGGGTAAAATATCTGAATAAACTTGCAAGGTTGTTGTGTTATGCGAACATAATATTGACAACGCATTCCCTAGCTTAGTCCCAGATTTTTTATTTCGCCAACAGTGGCAAAAAATGACAAAAAAAAAAAAACAATGGCAGTGTTGCATTGTATTCCATTTTAAGTACTGTAGATTTACTGTGTTGTTGTTTTACTGGTTACATTACCGGAAAAGCACAGGTGTATAGTGTGACCTAGAGACAATGTTAGAGTCCTGCATGAATTCAAACATTCCAACAATCAGTACACCTGAAGTGATTCCTATGGTGTTTACTATTCTAACCACCATGACCCAAAGTCAACTTTGACTTTACAATGTCTTCTTTTGCTGTTAGCAAGCAAGTTGAGACCATGATGTGTAACATTCGCTCAAACTTGATTTGTGTAAGAATTCGCAGCCCTATTTTTAAACAGTTTGTCGCAGGTCAATGTCTGAATTTCACAAATGTTTAATGTGAAATCACAGGGAGCCAATGAAAAGAGACTATCTAGCATATCGTCAAACTCTTCTCTCTCACTCTGTGGGACGTATAAGGACACAGACACACACACGAGTGTGATCAGAATAATCACACTTCCTCTGTGAGTGAAACCAGATCAGATTAGCCTTCATCTCTACGCAGCAACAAGTGGCCGGAGCCGCAGGTGCAGGTGTGACCGGTGGTGGTCCGACACCGTCCAGATGTGCACATCAGATCAATAAATGTTACCGAATGAATAATGCTTCCATAAGCGTCACTGTTTCGGAAAAGTCAGGCGAGGACATTTGTCAGCGTTCGGTGCTTTTTGAGTCATATCATCAGCAGATGTGTTTGCCTTGGCCGGCTGGTTCTGTCAGTGACCTGCAGCTTGATTTATCTGCAGAGCAGAGCGTGTGCGTTCACCACGTGAGTGCTGTGTACACACACGCGAGGAGACGCACACACCAACATACCTTCTGCCTCCCAAGTTAATGCAAAAACAAGATCTGTGCATCGCTGCAGCTGCAGGCCGACTGACGTGACGGGCCGGGAGTGTCTGTACTGCAGCCAACAGCCTGATTCACAGCTACGTATGGTTGCTATAGCACATCAGAGTCATTACATGAAAAATGTACCAGAGAAATGGGCCTGCAGTCAGGTTCAATTGTATTTCGTGTAAGAAAAAGAAGATGTGAACGTTCCTCTGGCAGTTTCACTCGTTTCCTTCCTTTCGTGATGATGGCGGCTGATAATGATCTCTGAATGGCATATTTCTGGTTTTCCCTCTTTTCCCACATCCCCCCTTAAAAAAAAAAAAAGAAAAAGAAAAATCAGCCCGTGTGATTATTTACTCTGGTTTTACTGACTTTCCTTCCTCTTGTAGTTGTGCTCGTGGCTGGGACCGGGACTAAACTATGGGAGGTGCCAACAGCCTCCTTCACCTCCTCCTTCAACCTCAGTGAAGGCCACCAGTGGGTGCCCCAGTGTCAGTACCGCCACCCACAGGATGGAGTGAGAATTACAGCAGACATTCCTCCAAGACTGGATGGCACATGGGTGTCCACCAGGTAAAGTTCTACACTCAGAACTGACAGACTGTTGATGAGTACCATGGATTACTCCATATTTATACTTAATTACAACATAAAAATGTGAACATGACCTGAACAGACCTTGGCTTTTGCAATCATCAGTCACTTGCCTGGTATTAGTAATCAATCCAAGAGGAAACCCACCCACAAAGAAATCTGATTGGTCCACTTAGCAAAACCGGCCAATCAGGGTGCTCTGTGTCTTGCAGACACTTCATGAACAAGCGCACACAGTACAGTCTGACTCTCACATCCTCTGTTGAGCGCACACTGTCTTCAGATGGACACTCTCTCTGCCTTACCAGTGCATAGATACTGGGATAGTTTCTTGAGTTAATGGCACTTCATGAACGAGTGCACCCACACAGTACAGTCTGACTCTCACTCCCTCTGTTGAGCGCACACTGTCTTCAGATGGACACTCTCTCTGCCTTACCAGTGCATAGATACTGGGATAGTTTCTTGAGTTAATGGACCTCAGGGAGCTGCTGTCAATATGAAGAAGACTCCCAGAACATCTGGGACACTTGTGATGTCTACATTTTACCCACTGGTTTATGGTCAAAATAAGAAACAATTGGATAAAATATTATTCAGTCAGTTATGTCAAAAGCATGAAAAACTCCACAACGTGTGCCTAAAATTGACAGGAATCACTTAGGCTACAGTGATGGTCATGGTTTCCAGATGTCCAGACTATTGAGGAGAAGAAAGAAGAAAAAAATCCAGGCCAATGAGGACCGACATAACTTTTCTCTAAACTTTGAAACCTTGAGGAATATTTTGCGATTACAATTGTTATTTCCTCAGCTTTTAGTGAAGAGAGAGCCTTGACACGTGGCCTCGAGCCATGTGTTCAAACACAAATTGGATCCAGCTCTGAAGGCTTAATATTACACCTGTATTAAATCACTAAATGTGCCGGAGGAAGTTTGCACAGGCATCTAAAATGTGTCTGTGAACAAATAGTAGTCACTGTGGTGCTGTAGGTAATACAATAACATCATGGTAAGTGGAGGTCAGTTCATCCTTGACAAAAGCAGTTATAATGTTGTTACTCAAAGGTCGGGGTTTGTTGTTAAGGACGCTTGAAATCAGCCCTCGAACACAAATAGGTTCCAAGCAAAACAAAAAGTAAAAATAAAAAGGAGTCAGTGGACAGGAAGAGGAAGAAGAAGAACAACAATGAGTAGTTGATAAACAATGGCTCTTCCAACGCACACTGAAATCAGAATTCCACTCTGAACAGTCCAAACACAGAAAAACAAACAATGTTAACTCTCCGGACATGAAGCTGACATTCAAGGGGAAATCGGATAAGTTTTAATTCCCTCGACAGTGGCCGAAAACAACGTTGCATCTTTTACATCCTAATGAACAATGTGTTTCCTCGGACATCTCTTCTCTGCTGCTGGACATGATTTGACCATAAGACTCTCTCTCCTGTAAACAGCACCAGTACAAATGGAGGACCTAAACTTGTAAAGAATGTGTCAAACCTAAGGACAGTGGGCCTAATTTTGCCCATCAAGTCATTTCAGGTGGCCTCAGAGACCACAGAAGTCTATGCGGCATTAGAATGTGCATCAAGCATAAACCACAAGTCCCATAATACAATGCAAGGGGTTTTTCCAGCAAGAAAAGAAATATGAACAACATCCTGATATGTTAAAGAGCAACATGCTGACGTGGCCTTTGGTTAAAATGGGATTCACACCCATGCTGTGAAGGGATTTTATGTTTGAATAGAAGCACGAAGGGTTGTTGGTTCAAGAGCCGGTGACGAACTGAGGGAACCTGTCTTTAAACTTTTTTGAGTTTGTCTCAAATTTGTATCAAAAGACAATCTTCGGACAAAAACGCAACGGAAACATAAGCCTGAAAAAAAAAAGCACCAAACAACCAGCAACCACACGGTTCGTTTCCAAGAGTGATTACACGTTACAATTACGCTGTGCCTGAAAGAAGATGGAGTCCAGAAGACACCTCAGTAATTAAAAACCTGGTAACAATCAGCTGCTGCACGTCTTGCATTATGTCACACCAGCGGTTTGGAGAAGAGTCTCAAATACTTGAAAGAAAAAAAAAACAGGTAGAAGATAATGAGTTACTAATGTACTGATTGTCTCACTAATAACATACAATAGTCCAGAAATGAATCAGTGCCTCAGTGTTGAGGAGCAGATCTACACCAACATCTGCACTGGGGACTGCATTAGGTCAGGACTTTTCAAGTCCTCTAAGCGTAATCTGTAGACTTTTACCGAGAACATCCTTCAAATTTAGACATCTGCCCTAAAGACAGCAGAACACAGAGCTGCTTTGCTGCCACCTAGAGGTGCTCCAAGCACTAAAACAGGAAAGAGAAAAGACAAAATACGAAGTGGGTTTCGGTAGACGAACACAAAGGAAGATTAATACTCTGAAATAAATATTATTCTATTGGTAGTCCTCCTTTAAATTCCACAATACGGTACATTTGAATCAAAAACCTAAACATCACTTTGTCTGTCCTTCTTCAGGTGTGAAGTTCGACCTGGTCCCGAGTTCCTCACCCGCTCCTACACCTTCCACTCCAGCCGTCACTTCCAGGCCTTACAGCACTACTACACGGACAGCAGCTGCGAAGAACCGGCGTACTCCCTGAAGATCTGGGGTAAGCTCCGTCTGCGCCAGGCGTCCTGGATCACCCGTGGCGGCACGGAGGCTGAGCCCCACCTCAGCAAAGTGGGGGTAGTCATTCACAGCCCGGCAGCCAGGCAGAGGCTGGCGTCCAGGCTGCCGTCGGCCTGCGTGGGCCCCACCCTGGGGCAAGTGGTGCTGGGGAAGTCGTACGAGCTGTACAACACCCGGGCCGGGAGAGGTTGTCTCATGGCTCTGGGCTTTTCCATGATGGAGATGGGGCTGATCCGGGTGGAGATGCAACATCACAACCATAGAGGGAAAATCCAGGAGCTGTTTTTAGGAGATATTCACACAGAATGGACCCAGAGGACGCAGTACAGACCCACAGGATACCAGCAGCCGCTGCAGAACGCCATGGTGAGGCACTCTGTTTTTGTTGAGATTTTTAAAAAATTGTGTATCGACTTATCATTGTGCTGAAATTGATCTCCTTCAAATTATTACCAAACCTCACAAACCGTTTCACTTCTCTATTTTTCAGCATCACATCCACCCCTGTCCTGTGTGCGCTTTAGTGTATCGCTCCTCAGAGCAGCGCCCCCCGGTGTTGCCTCGCAGCCCCGCACCGCCTCTATCTCTGGCCGGTCGCTGGGTCAGCCAGCACTGCGAAACACGTCCCACCGTTCTCTTCCTCACCCGAGACTTCACCTTTGATCCTGAGCAACACGCCTGGGAGGGCATTTACCAACACTACTCAGACCCTTCCTGCTCCGAGCCCACGTTTACCCTGAGAGCCTCGGGCCATTACGCACAGGGAAACCCATCGGCCAAAATTCTGGGGGCGACTGAGGTTGTGTTCAAGGTGACTCAGGTGAGAGTCACAGCCATGGAGGAGTCTACAGCCAAGATGCTGAACGAGACCAGGCCAGGAAAGTGTGGCCAGGCCGGAGGCTGGGAGGTGGGGGTGGAGCAGGATTTGAGGCCCACTGATGGATGCACAGTACTGGGTATCAAACTGCCACATAAGGAGTTTGAGCTCTTCAAGTCAGAGCTGGACCACAGGAAACAACCGCTGCTGTTTATCGGACAGAGGCCGACTGACGGCTCCAGTCCTGATCGACAGCACAGGAGACCGACTTCCTTCCAAGCTCCCATGGTGCTGTGCGACGGAGAGGAAAGACAGCCCTCACATGACTCTGGGTCAGGATTTAACAGCAAGCAAGTCCAATCAGCAGTCAGTGTGGCCGAGAGACTAACTCTGCTGTTGTCGCTAATGTTCGGATGTGTGCTCTGCAACTTGTTACACTTTTGTTAGACAAGGTTCGGAAACCAGACAGAACCCAACGACGGACATTGGTTTTCTGAAATCTTTCCTTACCTCCTCTCTATGCTGATGACTAGTTGTTTTATGGTGAAGAAAAAACATGACGCAATAAAAAAAAACACATGTTAGTACCCACTGTCTACATTTCACCCTTAAGTTGTAAGATTGTAAGCCAAAAAATGATTAGAAAATGTAAAAAATATATATAAAAAAATATATATTTTCTCGACCTTTCGACTCTTCCACGAGGGCTGTTTCCATCAGAGAATTCCAGAATTCTGGGGGAAGTTGCGGGGGGCTTCGTTGCCTCATCTAAGAAACTAAATCCAAAACTTTTGTTTCTCAAAGACTTTGTCAAAGCTGTTGCTGACGAGTCAGAGACATGTCTGAAGTAGTTTCAATAACTAAAATCAGACACAAGTTTAACATCCGTCTTAAAACGTTGTCACTCATTTTTCTATGTAAACGACAGCCTTTTGTATCTTACACACATTTATGGATGTAAGAATCTTTCACCACGATTCAGTAACGACTTATGCACTTTGTACATATATTTTTTTTCCATGACAGAAAAAGAAGTAGAAGTAGAAAAGATCTGCACTCCATTACAGGCCATCTCTTCAGGTCCAATACTACGTGGTGTGAATCGTTGCGTTACGTTTGTCATTTTTCAAAGAGAGCGCATTATTTTATATTTTTGTTTTCTTCAGTCAGTCTAATCAGATGTATATTTATTTTAACCATTTAAGCTGTTTGTTTTCACTATAAGAAAAGATTCTGAGTGAATGCTGTTTTTGATGATTTCATGTAAGAAGCGATTATTTTCTATAAGTGTAATAAAATATCTTTTTCATAACAGCCTGTGTTGATTGTAATTCTTTAACTGACAGTTTGGATCTCGGCTTCTCTGTAGGGTATTGACAAACTCTCAGACAATGCTACAAAATATATAAAGAAACACCAAGATTAACTTTTGGAATGTTACTTCCTACATACTATTCACTAGTCCAGTGGTTCCCAAACTTTTATAATGCTAAAAGATCAGGTCAGACAGGAAAACAAAAACAACATGCATTCAGGTACCATCAGAAAAAGAATCCAGTAATTACAGTAGTTTTAAATTTTGTGAGGCTCCCTTAGCGCAAATGTTTAATAACTTATATGTAATGGTCATTTGTTTATTTTTATACACGTGGGGCTTCATCAGCTATACACTTTAGGAGATGAAAGCTCTCGTGCTGCATTCACTGACAACAGAACACAGGAACAGGAACACAGGTCAGACAGGAAAACAAAAACAACAGAAGATGGCTCGCTTTTTTCCTTTACATGTACATCAACACTGAGATGACAGCATCGTGTTAGAGTGCACTTTAGCGCTCCATTACTTTTTGACTGCGGCGTTAATTGTCCAGACGAAGTGTTGGACTGTAAATCCTTTTAAGAACCACCTTCTCTCGGCCACAGTCCTGAACTTGACTGTTATCGTCACGTCGCTGCAACAACAGTAACGTCACACACAGCAGCGGTTACAGAGACTCACGCTGCATCGTAACACTACCTGTTTATTTTGAGGCGAGCGTGGAGGAGCTTCTACAGGGCCTTGTCAGATGAAACATGCCAGTAACCATCGCAAATTTGAACCACATGGCTGTTAAGAGTTGTTAAAAGCAAAAACCATGTCGGGAGAATTCATCCTCTGGGTAACTGTGAACGTCCATACAAAAATGTCACGGCCACTGAGTCACTGTCTGGACCACATTCTGGAAAGATGATCCAAGACCAGTAAAAATGTTGACCTTGTGTGTTTACTAGTCATTTGTCCCACCGCTGCTGTTTCATTTCAAAACCCAAACTCCCACATTCAGGCTGTAGCATCTGCTGAATTATGTCTACGCCGCCGTGTTTATACTATCACATATTCAAAGGCCAGATAAAAAGTGATTATACGGTCACGACAACTGCCAAAGAGCTGTCGTGAAGTTCGCACATTACACACCACACGTCTCTGTGTCCGATTAAGGTACAGCTGGTGGACTTTTAAAACAATGGGCTTTATCAGATGGGACGGTCAGTCGGAGGAGAATGCAGAGGCGACGGCCAACAATATAGGTTTCACACAGGCCCTGGTCAGAAATATGTTCAAACGAGCAACGGCGTAATGTATACAACATATTTAGTCTATGAGTCCGTGGCTCCACATCCTGTGTGTTATGACTGAAGTCAGTGAAGTAAGCACTCTGCTCCACGGAGAGATTCCTACAGCGTTAAATCCTTACATCTGCCCTCGCAGAACAACCCACTGAGGCAGGACTCAGAAAAATGGCTGAGGTTCAGAACACATGGGGCTCTTTACGCCCGCCAGCTTGTCTGGCCTGAATCAAACTGTTACACATTTTGCCACAAGCTGCAAATTCTCAGGTTAAAAGATTCAAAAACATTCACGAAAAGTATACTGTGAACACCTTTCTGTACGTCGTGAGCGGGAATTTCTGGATCTACTTCCTGATATTTGTTATTAGCTATTTCATGCAATTTTATGCCACAAGTGAGAATATTACATTCACATTGATATGGTCAAACTGCATTGCTTAACGCTTGTTACTTAATCAATTTATTAGAGTTGAGCAATTTTCCTAACCTCTGTCTGCCACTAGAAGGTTCTCGGAATTCATACCTCCAAGTTCCCAAATCCCAAGTGAGTTGGTGTCGCAAAGAGCAGCCAACGTAAAAACTTTGTCAAATCCCTACATAAACTGTTGATCGCTGATAAAGGAACGCGCTAACAGTGATTCCTCTTGTCATTCATTCATCCAATCAGCAGTCTGTTACAGGGCCACATACTGTATTATATGTATTTTATGCCAGAGTTGCTGCCACCTAGTGACTGGAGGCTGGTTTATCGTTCAATCGTTATAATCCACTGGAAGCCTCTCGCACCCAACCCCACCCCCCTCTCCTCTCCCCTTGACACATCACCGCGCCACCCCACGATTTGAGAGGTACTGCTGCACACAGACAACCAATCATTCACACTTAGCGTGATCAATGAACCTGAGTCCCTGCAGCAAATCAATCGACAACAGAGAGACAACACGCAGACTCCATATACACAGACCATCAACTACCATGAACCAATGACCTTCCTGCTGGAAGGCAAGTGCACAAACCGCTCTCCTGATGTGCAGCCCTTAGTTTCTCGATTTTAATAACAAATTTGTAAAATCCCACCACTGACAAACACACCACAGGTATGGACAAAATAAAATAAAAAATCAGGCGGCAGCCATGTGAATGATTTAGCGTGAACTGCTGACTGAAAGACCGGAGGTGTGGTTTACATACATGGAGACGACTGAACATTTTCACGAGGCATAAATCTACAAGGCTGTACATCTCATTAGCTCTGTTTTCCCAGTGACAATTACCAAACGTGTTGAGCCACAGAGGATAAATCAACATTTGCTCCGTGCTAATGCGGACCAGAGGAGCTGAACATTACAGCAGCGGGACGACTGCCTTCATGAGCGACCTGTGCCATAGTTTGTGGTTCAGGGTTTTTTTTTGTTTTTTAAAGAACCAACTGCCTGTTCATAGAAGTAAAAAAAACTGCTCTGATTTAAATATATTTGAAATTAACTTTTCAGGACATGTAACATTATGCCGTTCTTCCTCGTAAGCGTTTCAAAGAGGAGGAAGGAGAACACTAAAATAAAGGTCTGTTTCCAAGAAAAGTTAAAAAAAATTATATAAATAAACAATCTTTAATTCTGTTATTTGGCTCTTTAGCCTTGAGCCGTGAGGACAAAGGGAAGAGAGAAAAAAAAAAAAAAGAAAAGAAATGAGAGGCAGGTCGTTCAAGAGGCTACATATTGTTCCTATTAACTCCTGAGAGAATGGTGATGGCAGCTGCTCACCCCATGAGGTCATCCGTCAGGCTTGAATGGAGAATATGGGTCTGTAACCCCGACAAGCCAACACGTAAAAAAGAGCAGGGATTATTGAAGAAAAAAAACAAACCTTCAGGGTGGATAAATGGCATTTTTCTTTACAGTAATGTGTGCAATCTGTCATTGAAAGGACCGTGACCCTGGGTAAATCTTTGTGGAACCCACTGAATCCACACAAACCACACAGATCCGCTCATCTGCAGATGGCTGCCTGGTGATGATAACTGAGCACAGGGAGCAGAGTTTTTTAAAGTCTCCTTGTGGTTTCTGCTGCACGGCATGAAAATGAGAGGAGAGAGGGGAGGGGAGGAAACAGGAGGGGAGGAGAGGAGACGGCAGGAAAGGAGAGGAGAGGAGAGAAGGAGGAAGGCGGAGGCTAGGAGAGGAGAGTGCTATTGAAGGCATCCAGTGAACAGTTAAACAGATGCACAACCTGGACGCTCTCTCAGATTTGTGTTCGCAACAGGTTAATTCCGAGTCATTACTCCTAATAAAGTGGTTGGAATGAATTCATTTGAATTACACTTATTACATTCAAATTGGCCAATTCGGAGTTTTCCATCCTTGGAAATGGGGCCCCACCAAGAAGCGGACAAATAAACACACAGTTCTACACGCAGAAAAGTCCGAAGGTCACATGACACACCTCGGCGTCTGAGTTTTAACAAATGTTTAGAATTTTTTTTTTAACAAAACCATTGAAAAAAACAAGTACTTTTAGAAGGTATTTGAAGAGGCCATATACATGCTATGATATAACAGGATGTTTGTTGTACATTACATTACATTATAATTACTCAGTAAATATTACTGTAAAGTGTGTGGCATAAATAGTAGAGGTCAAGAGGTCATCGGGCAACAACGGGCCACACATATAGAGCCATTCACACTCACATTTACACCAGTGGTCAATTACCCTGTTATGTCATGTATTTAGCGCGATACAAAACTCCATACAATCAGACCAGGAATCGAACCCTTGATCTTCTAGCAATAAGGCAAGGGCAGCAACCACACTGTCACTGTGTGGCCCAATGACCCAGTGTCTTAAAATGAAAATTATTATCAAAACAAATGTTAAATTTAAACAAATCTAAAGCTGACTTTGTGGTGAGCTGATTTACACTTTTACCACATTCAAATTTTAAATCTGCACTAAAACACAGTCTGTTCACTGTGGCTCCACACTAAAACACAGTCTGTTCACTGTGGCTC